TTCAAAACTGAAATTCAGTTTGATTAGACTTCCACACCCTCTATCATCCCTTCTACCACCCCAACCTCTAAGAAAAGAGTAAAGATGCTTGCTCGTAAGGTTGTTGCGGGGAGAGAACAAATTTGATGAATAGGTTTGTACTAGTAGGGTCTAAAGCAGGTGTTGAAACTACAGAGTCTGGAGGAATTGGTGGTAAAAATGAAAAAGAAAAAAGAAAAAGAGAGCAAGGGTGTTCGAAGTGCTGTGAGGGGAAAGGGTAAAAGAGTGGTTGATTCTTCACCCACTCCTGTGAGTTTAACCAAAGACACAGGTGCAATGGTTGTTTAGGGAGAAAAATCTGCTAGAGTAGAGGAGAGTGTAAAGAAAACAGGGGGAAGTGGGTCTGGCGAAGCCGCTGAAGGGTTGGTTCAACTTGTGAAAAATATAGATGAACCTGTTTCATCTGAATAGGAAACCCTCGCAGACCTACTGAAGAGAGTGACTGAAAGTTATAATCCAAAGAAGAAATGGAGGTTGGTACAAGCAAAGATCATTTTGGGGCAAATACGCTAACTGCTTGTGTCTATAAAGTCCATGTCGCTCCTAAAGAACCTGGTTCATCTAAGAAGATACCAGTGAATAGCAAGGTGCGAGCCTTGGTGCAAGAAAGAGAGGCTAAGGATGCTGAGATTGAGAGGCTGAAGAAAAGGTTGGCTGAGGTAGAGTATGAGAGAGATGCTCTCAGAACTAAACTAGCAAGAGAAAAGGAGAAGAATGATGGAATTCTTCAAGACATGCTGAAACTTCTCCTAGCCAAAAACCAAGGCATAAACTTCTAGCCTAATGTAGATCAACCAGTGATCCAGTTCGGGATTTTTTTTGCTCATGTTTCCAGTATTTTTATTTCTTCTTATGCTTTATGGTAGAATCTTATCAATCATCAATGAAATTCATTGTTTTTGCTCTAACTATTTGTTTATATTTCTTTGATGGTTAAAATTCTTAGCTTGATCTATGATGATTAATCCATGATTGCATTTGAAGTAGCCCCAGTGGCCATGAATAAGTTTTAAAATCGGGTTATCTCACATTTTTTATGCAACTTTTCGATGATGCCAAAAGGAGAAAAATTTTGTGCTTTATATTTTGAACAGTGATGTTTATAACCTAATGAACCTGGTCCTTGATGATAAGTGATAAAAAAAAAATTATTTCTAACATTATGTTGATGTTGAGCTAAGTTGAAATAGGGCATAAACTTATGGAAGCACATAGTTTGTCATCATCAAAAAGGGAAAATTTGTTGGCAAAAAAAAAAAGAATAGTTTTGAAGATTGACAAAGGAACTCAGGGATGAACCAGGTCCATCACTGGTAGGCATAGATACGGGCAGATTCAAAGAACGTGAGATGCACATGCAGGAGATAAACGAAATATGGCATAATAATAGATATCTCCTGATCGAAAAGATTGCATAATTAATAAGGAAAACTCCTTACTCAACGAGAATATTATCCAAGGACTCCTTACTCAATGAGAACATTATCCAAGATATGGAAGGAGTTAGGAGTTGAGATTAACTAAACCTCTTCCACCAAGGAAGAGTAGCATTGGAACTCTAGTTATTTTCTACTCTACTAACTCTATAAATCGCAGGATGTTCTTATTATACGGGGACGCACAAAAGCATAAGTTAAACGTGAATTGAGAGCAAAATAGCAAGGCATTTTGCAAGCAGTTCGTGTGTGATTCAAGTGTATGAACTTGAAGCTAAATGAACCAGATAGAAGAACCAGCTCCAAGTGTCTGTCTTTTATTCTAGTTCAATTGTAGTAGGTATTTTCATATTGTACCTTTCAGCCTTATCTAGAGGTAATTGTAATAAGTACTCATAGTATTCAAGTTAGAGTTAACTTGAAGTTGTTGTAGCAGTTAGAGGCCAGTTGCCACAACGGGATTAGAGTTAATCCTAGGTTTACAAAAGTGTTTTGTAATTACAATTTTTAGCTCAATGATTTAGTGGAGAGTTTGGGAAAATCCTAGTGGGAAGTAGGTCTTATTTTTTTCACCTTTTGAGCTAGGTGTTTTCCACATAAAAATATCTGTGTTCTTTATTTTCTGTACTTATTATTCCGCAACAGTAGTAGTTCGAACACATAGAAGAACCGGGTCTTTCTATAATCTGTGCATGTGAAGTATTGGACACCACACAAATCACCCCATCTTGTGTGGTATTGACGTATAAAACATCAGGTCCTATGAAGCAGCTTTTATTAGGAAGCATGCTTGTGTAAGTTTTGCTGTGTTTCTGTTCTTCCTTTCACCGATGCATTTTTCTTTCTGGATCAGTGCCTAATATGTTGTGATTGTTCTTAAATTGAATCTCACCACATTAAGAAGTGCGAGAGGCTTATACTAAACTGAGCTGCATGGCTTTACTGTGAGTTCGCGAAACCATAGTTAGCAGTTGGCACACAGCTTTCCAAGGAGCTTCAGGGAGTGCTATTAAACCTAGTGTGCTATTAAACCTATTCAATTCATTTAGCAAAAGCAAGAGCTTGGTTCTTTGTTCAAACCTCTTTCTGGTTACATGTAGGATGAATAGCTATTCCTTATACAAAATATTGCCTACTATCAACTTAACAGTTGCTAGAGCAAAAGTTAGGTAGAGAGGACTCCTCCGTTACAATTTGGAAAATCTCGTTATTCAAAGCAATTTACACACTCATATTTTGGGTCCTCCGTTACAATTTGGAAAATCTCGTTATTCAAAGCAATTTTCACACTCGTATTTTGGGTATTTTCCTATTTTGCAGGGGAGGATTCGATGCTTAGGTTTTACCTTAGGCAAACCTTTGGCAAAGGCAAAGTCCCTGTCTCTTCATGTCTGGAACCAGATGATGGAAATTCCCTAGTTTAGATGCTATACCTTATCTATTGAATTGTGTCTTACTGCTGGAATCCTAGGCTAAGCTTCATCCGTAACAATTTGTTGGTCATTCTTGTTTGTGATGGGCAGAATGATCACTTTTCATCACCTAATAATTCTTCTATCTATTAGGGGTTGAAATATTACTGTTGACTTTGTGTCAAACCTTTTTCTTTCACGAAATTACTACTAGTTCTAAAGGGGAAGTAAAACAATGACATAATTGAGTGTTATTAGAAACTCACAACAGAATGATCAGCACACTTAATGTCCTCGACAATGTTTCTTGTATTACGCCGCCTCCACTAAAATCCACCATCTCAACTCTGAACACCTCCCCAACTCGTACTTCCGCTACTGGAGGTATCTCCGGGTGCGACCGGTTGTGAAGAGGTGGATTTTGCTCCCATGGCCTCTTCTTTAAATCTACCTCTACTACCAACCTTGGACATATTGAATTCATAGCTTCTTTTAGATGAGGGATTGGACAGATCAATTTAACTCTTTTTGAGCTGCTTATTTGAAAACAGTAGTGGACAACTTTCACTTTTGTTCTGCTTTTACCTCAATTAGCTGCATGGCATTTGTTCAAAGTCCATGATAGGTTAGCTTAAGGATAGGACTTTTCTTCCAATTGGACTATCTGCCTTTTAGTCTCCTCCCAACATAGTTTCTCTCAAAGATGCAAAATTAGTAGAAATCATGTCTTATTATTAACCTTTATTTTCCAAGAATATGACTGGCACCCAGATTACCTGCCAAGTAACATTAACCTTCCCATTTATCATGCCAGTGATCATCATTGAATCTGATTCAACGATCACATGATGTAATCCATTAGTAGAATACCTTTCCAGTCCCACAAGAATAGCTCTTGCTTCTATTACATTATTCCTGAAGTTCTTAAATAACGAATCGAAGTACCGAACACCCACCCTAATGAGATTTGCTTCCCAAAAGTCACGCTCGTTGTGCATGGTTTTGTGCGACAAGATTGGGTGGTGTAGAACTATCATTTAGTCGTCTTATGATCATCATCTACAGATATAGGAAATTTAATGTGTCGTATTCGTGCTACAATATTATCTACTGTTATGTCATATTATATTTGTATTTTTTCACTTTCTCATTTTTAGCCATTAGTGTAGCCTTTAATGGATCTGATATTAGTTGTTTATTCTTTGTTACTAAACTGGCATAAATTTGTTATTTTATCAGATCAAAAATTTGAAGTCCGAAGAACCTATTCTTAAAGAAAGTGTAGAGCAAGTTGAAGTATAAGAGGTTTTGGTTCGTCAACGATGGTTTAAAGACACTGTCTTATGTACATATATATGCTGCAATTTTACTTTTTCTCTTTTTAGGAATTGTTAATAATTATGCTTTAGTTCTTTGTATTAACAAGATATCAAGTATTTGGTTTATTTTCCAATGTTGTTGAGCGTGTATGAATGCATATAAATAATTATTACTATTCATGTAATTTAAATTTTCTTAATTATATTTATTACATTTTCATATTAGCGAAGAAAAATGTGGTCATTAAAACTCTTTAACGACAGGTTTCTCAAATAGATAAATGACTATTAACGATGAGAATATTGGATATTAAAAGTAATTATACAATTAACGACGGGAATATTAGTCGTTAAAGCACTCGAATTGACTTACTTATTGTCATTAAAGACTTAGGACCGGATAACATATTAGCGAGGCGAAAATCCTGTCGCCAAAAAGTATGTATAACGACCGAAAATTATGTCGTCACTAAAGAATCTTTAACGATTGGAATGTAAACCGGTCGTTAACTTTTAACGTCGGGATTTTTAACGACCGGTGACGACAGAATATTTTCCGGTTGTTATCAACTTATAACGACCAGAATTGGACGTTTAATGACCAAATTTTCCCTCGCTAAAGGCCCAATTTCTTGTAGTGCGTAATCCTGATATCTTTATAGTGAGTAGTTGCATTGGTTGTCTAGTTAATTCGAGACCTTCTTGGAAGTTCAATTTTCTTTACCCTCCCTCAAATTACTTTAGAAAACAGAGCTGAAATAAAGCCTTTTTTTTAATTCAAGCAAAAATAGAAGTGCAACAGAGAGGACATTGCTAGGTACTGATGTTTTTCTTTTATCCTTTTGCCCCTTTTTCTAGTACTGACAAAATTAACTATGTTCTCCTCCACCTGCACCTCCAAATAAGAAGTTATAGTCCCAGTAGCCATCATTGTCATTATGTTGATTTCCTTCATAAAAACACCTTGATTCTTGAGTTTGAACCTTGGAATCATCTGGTGGAACTTGTTGTCTGTTGCCATCTACTTCTATGTCATACAAGACTTTGCGCATATAACAAGTTAGCTGCCAATGCCCTTCCTCAAATTGACCATTTCCCATGGCAGGGCTAAGATCTTGACCTGCTGGTGTGTACACCTGCCCTCCGTATCGTACTGTGTCCGCTCCCTTTGCACTCAAACTGTCGAATATTTCATATGGCCACATTCCTATCTCCTCCTCCAACATCGGCATTACAAGATGATAATCCAAATATTGTGTCTGAGAAAATCATAATACCGTTAATTAGCATAATCCAGTGCGCAACCTCCTTATCTAAAAGTTTATAAATGATACAAAGATTAAAAAGCTCTTTGATCATAAATACGATATTATGAAATCATATTGTTTGAGTTGTTATCCTTTTACAAATAACTGAGTGGAATAAATTCAAACATATGACAAACATAGCATAGGAATTCAATTATAGAGAACAGCTGAAATTAGAGTCACTTTAATATTTTAAGAAAAATTATTTGCACCTATAACGACTAAGAATTTGAGTTTTGGAAAAGAAATGTTATGTAAACAATAAAAGAGATCCAGGAAAGACAGAGATAAGTTTGTGAAATCATGTTATGAATAGTACCTTTTTTCTTCTTCTTTTTTCGGTTGGTGGGTGGGGGTGTGAGAAATGTTAGCTAAATAATTAAGATGAAAATATTGGCAACATTAAGTAGTACTGTACATACTCATCTAAAATTTCATGAATGATGTCATAAAACGATATTGTTGCAATGTCGAACTATAGTTTTGCTGTCCGTTGAGATCATTTATTTGGTTTCCTTAACTTTTTCTCAAAAACAGATGTCTTCTTTACAATTGGCAGCATATGACGGCAGGAATTGAATTCTTGAGGGAAAAAATGAAATTAAACTTGCATTAATACCTAACATATAGTATTTCCACTATATAAACTCATAACGACAGAGCAAAAAAGAAGACAAATCTTAAAAGCTAGATGTTAAAGAAACCCAACATGCATATAGGAGGAACAAAAAGATTCAGAAAGTTATTTTAGAAAATATGTCTTTAGCTCTCCAAAGACCATATTTATATAGGCGTTGCACCAACGGCTAGATAACGGTTAGTTTGACTCTGTTAAATATAAAATAATTTACTAAATAATAAGTAGATGTAAATAACACTTCAAAGAGAAAAGATTTTCCAAACCAAGATAGACATTACCTTTCGAGATACCACTAGTTTTTCCAATAATTTACTCTCTCCGATCACTTTTACTTGGCATGTATACTAAAAATAGATGTTCACTGGACACTTTACGCATATCAAGAGAAGACAACAAATTTTTTCCTGTTTTACCCACAGTATTTATTACCATTTCAAATCATTTTCTCAAATCCAATAAAATATGCATCAATTAATATGAGTAACATGGTAAATTATGCACTTCATTTATTATTTCTTAAGGGGCGTGAAAAGCCAAAATGTGCCAAATAAAAGTGACCGGAGGGAGTATTTATTATTCCTAAATTGTTCAAAATAACACATTTCTCATTTAGTTCATCTCATTAGTTTCTTTTTTATTTTGTTTAACGAGAACGTGAAGCCACTCTGTTTTCCTTTCTTTCTTTTTTTTACTTGTGGGGTGGGGGTTGGGGGAGGGGGGAACTTGTTGTATATTCCAATATTAACACATTAGCAAGACTTTGTAAAAAAGCATTTTTATGAAAAATATAAAAAAGAAAAGAACATTTTACATAAAAGATGGAGTCTATAGTAAGAATAAATAATGCAATAATAGAAAGTGTATGGTATAACATAATACCTGATAGACACTGAGAAGTACTTCTTCTTTGGAATTAGTTTGTATGTCGGAGATCCTTGGAAAAACATAATCTATAGGTATTACGCTACTTAATTGAATAAATCCAGGACAGTGAGTGTTGTAACAGCCAGTTTTGTGATAGCCATCCGCCTATTTCAAGTATTAGTTAGTTATTTTGTTTTTTCGAAATTCTGTGGTTATAAATTATTTCTCAATCAAGTAATGAATTAAATAAATAAAAACTATACTTACTGTCCACTTGGTATACAAATGAGTTCGGTTGTCACCGTTCATTTTTGGATGCACCTGAAAAAATGAACGTAAAGACGACATACTTAACTATAATCTTTTGAGAAAAATAGGATAAGAAATGGGCAGATGACTGAAATATTGCTTTCATTTTGAAGTGAACTACCACGAATCTCGCAAACTGCAGCGGATTTGTTGGACAAAATATGTTAGAGTAGATTTCTTTCTTAAACTATTAGTACTCCTTTTGCTTCAGATCATGTTACATGCACTAGTTTAATTTGATACGAAATAATGATTTTTGAATTTATGGTCTTAATCATGTTTTAATATTCTGACAAACTCATAATTTTGTGAAGAACCTCCAACGTGAGCTACTATCTTGCGCCTTTGCCGGAACCCAAAAAATCTGTGAAGAATGAATTGTTGAGGTAGTTCCACTTTGAGTCGTATTGGAAGTGTTCTGGGATGTCCTATTAATTTACGCTAATGAATGTACCACAAATATTGATAGGATTTCTTATGCTAGAATACGAGTGGAGATGGATGTCACATGTGAGTTGCCTATCACTGTGAAATATGATTGGAAGCCTGTGTATTGTGCTAAGTGTCTGCAAATAGGGTATGCATGTCAAACTATCTCAGAGGAAGCAGGTTCAAATTAAACAAAGAGGACTAAGGCAATATGGGTAAAAGGCCTAGTGGATAAAATAGTGACTCAAGACCAGAATCTGAGTCAGTTAACTGACAAAGTGCAGGCTCAGAAATCCAATGATGCAACTGCCAATTCAAGGCACATCCATGAAAAAATGATACACGTGATGTGGCTAATATATTCAATCCTCTAACAGGAGAACTAAACAAGGAACTGTGACTTACTAGTGGAGTTAAAGAGATGGGCATATTAGCAAAGAGGATGTGAGGAGTCCACAAGTTACAATTTTATCAACATGAAATGTGAGGGGGCACTGGTTAACTCTGCTTGGATCCAAAACTGAAACAATGTGGAAGTGCTAGCCTTGGACCCTATGTTCTCGGACCACTATCCTTTGTGTATCTCACTGGTGACAGGATTGGGAAGGTAGCTAGGCCTTTTAAGTTCTTAAACTGCTTGGCTAAGCATTCAGATTTCCTGCCTATGGTAAAGGATGCTTGGAAAAAACATGTACACTCTGCTCCTATGGCTAAGGCGTGGAGGAAGTTAAAATTGGTGAGAGAGTTAAAGAAGCTAAATAGAACGGAATTCCTAAGATAGCTAATAAAGTTAAGGATGTGCAAGGAAAGTTTGTAGCATTGCAGAGTAAAATAAGGCAGGTGAATGATTATAGTAACTTGTTTGAAGAGGAAAAATACTTAAAGATGGAGCTGAAAAAATGGAGTCTAATTGAAGAAAGTGTGGCTAAATAAAAAGCCATGATTCTGTTTTTGCAATTAGGGGAGTCAAACACATTTTTTTCCATGCTTGCCTGAAGAATAGATCTGCACAAAATCAAATCAGAAACTTTGCTACCACTGAGGGTGTAATACTACAGAACTCTGCAGATATTGAAAAAGAAATCATTGAATTTTATAAGAACCTTTTGGGTTCAGCAGCTAGTTAATTGCCTTGTATTAGTGATGAAATTATGCAAAGAGGTAATGTGTTAAGCGGAAAACAACTGAATCTAATTGCACCAGTCACAAAGATAGAGGTGGGGGAGGCACTACAGGGTATTGATGACCAAACGGCTCCAGGGTATGATAGGTACAATGCCCTCTTTTTCAAGAAAATCAGAATATTGTAGGAGATGATGTAACTGAGGCAGTTATGAAATTCTTCAATATTGCAACAATATCCAAACCAATCAACTGCACCTTTGTAAATTTAATTCCCAAGGTCAAGCATCTTGCTTCCATTAAAGAATACAAGCCAATTTCTTATTGTAATGTCATATATAAGATCATATCTAAAATCATTATTAGTAGACTTGGTGAAGTTATTAGTGGACTCACTGATGGCAGTCAAGCTGCCTTTGTGCCTGGTAGACTTATGTCTGATAATATCATTCTTAGCCATGAGCTTATTAAATGTCATAACATAAAGGGTATTTCTCCTAGATGTATGTTGAAAGTTGATTTACAAAAGGCTTATGATTCACTAGAATGAGTGTATTTGGAAGAAATCCTAGTCGGCCTTCATTTCCCTGACATGTTTGTTAAATAGATCATGTGTTGTATCACTTCTATATCCTATTCTATTGCAATCAGTAAGGTTCCTACTCCTCCAGTTGCTACTAGGAAAAGTTTGAGAGAAGGTGACCTCATATCACCTTTTCTCTTTGTTTTAGCGATGGATCATCTAAACAGATTATTGAAGACTTTGAAGAATGAACCAAGCTTCAAATATCACCCAAAATGTGCAAAGACGAAAATCATCCAGCTGAGTTTTGCAGATGACCTGCTTTTATTAAGCAGGGGAGACCTTAAATCAGTCCAGTTGTTTTTCAAGCTTTAGGGCTACATGCTAATGTACAGAAATGCTCCATTTATTTCTGAGGGGGTTAATCACGGAGTACATGAGCAAATTCAGACCATACTTGGGATAAACATAGGTGATCTACCCATAAGGTACTTGAGAGTGCCAACCACTACTGGAGAAGATGCTTGGTAGAGTTACATCATAGACTTCAAGATTCCTATCCTATGTTGGTAGGATACAACTATTGAAATCTGTATTATTCTCAATACAGATATATTGGTCACAGCTCTTCATCTTGCTAAAGAAAATTGCCTCACTTATTGAAAGATTATGTAGAACCTTCTAATGGATAGGGGGAACTGATATCACAAAGGCATTGTTTGGGTGGGATAAGATATGTGTACCTAAGGCTTTAGGGGGTCTAAATTTATTGAATTTACACATCTTGAACAAGGCTGCCCTGCCTTGTGTAAACTTCTATAGAGCCCAAGTAAAAAGAAGGATACTCTTTGGAACAATGGATTCATATATATTATAGGAGAGATGGGTAGTTTGGAATGCATATCCTAAGCAGGCATGCATGTTGGATAATCCAAAAAGGTGTTCAAGGCAAAGTAGTATATAGAGGAGATGGGAATGACTGAGAAAGATCTGCAATCTTTACACACATTCTCTGTAAAGAAAATGTACTTGAAGTTACTTGGAGACTATCCCAAAATGCCATGGAGAAGGATGATTTGCAATAATCCAGGGGCCTCTAAATGGTTATTCATGCTTCCTCTAGTATGACCAGAAAATGTTTTCCCATTTTCAACTGTTTGGTTGCACAAAATAGTTTAGAAATTTTTTTCTGCACCACCCATCCCCACCCCGCAAAAACAAACTAATAAAAATATAATGTGACATAAATAAAACTGATGGAGTATTTGATAATGAACCCGAAAAGCATAATAACATAAAAGATTCAATGTGAGCAGGAAACTATCAAAAACTTACTATAGATGATTGAGTAGTTTCTTTCTCTAATGCAAAGTACAAGATTTGAAACTTACAATCCACCCGACTTGAATATGCTCGAACTTTTGTCCTGCCCCGGTTTCAAGAGACATGGATGCAGCACTGTATTGACCAGTTCCTCTTACTTGAGGATTGTATAAACATAGAAAAGCTGACACCCCAAAAAACCTTTCTATTGGTGGAGACGCTTGTATGTAAATTCCTGCAAACTAAATACAATGTTTTTATTTATCTGTCAATAAATTATGCAATTTTAAATCCAAAGAATCTCATATAATTCTCACTTAAATTAGCTATGTTAATATGCAAATCCTTTAAATTTTCATAGTCTCAATTCGAGCAAGTCATTTTTTTTTCTTTTAATTTTTATTGTTTCAAAGGATTTAATAATTATTTTATATAGGATAACATCAAGGAAAGTTTTTTCTAAATCAAGGCTTACATCAATCCAATTGTTTCCCGAGTATTCATTGGACAAGCTTAAGGAGGCATCTCTTGCATTTTGGAGTTGTTTCTTTTTCATTCTGCGTATAGGCACAGTTCCAATCGGACATCCTTCCTTATTCAACCAATATTCCTCTGCCTTGAAACCGCCCGATTTTCCTTTCTTTTGTCTTTCAAGCTCCTTCACTATGATCATCTGTTTTGCATATTGTACTAAACAAAATCAAAATCGAAATATGAATTTTTTCGAGGAATATATCCCTATTAGTGCCAATACTTTTGTCACATTTCACAACCGAAAAATAAATTAAAAGACGTAAGAAGATATGATAAAGCGGTCCATTCTTTGAAAAGATGCTATACCAAAACTTATACCTTAATTCTTTTTGAGTCCAAAGTTGGATGCAGAAGAGTTGGTTGCTTGTAGATGTCTACGCAATCATAAAAGTGTCCATGAATAGTCTACAAAAGATCAATTTCATCACATAAACAGAAAAATAGGCCTTTCACTGCATTTACAATTTTATAATTTTGAGAAGTCCAAACATATATACCAAACCTATAGAAATCATACCGCAATTGTAACGTTTGATCTTCTGCCAGACTCGTAGCTCTCGATCACATTAGAAAGAATGGTAATCGAAACTAAAAGAGAAAAGCAAATTGTTGTCACTCTAACAGCCATTGGTGTAATGCATTTGATTTGTTTCTGGAAGTATTTGCAGTACAAAAATTTGGATTCAATATAGAAAGTGGTTAAATTTTGATTCAATGTTAGAAAGTGGTTTAAAAAAATATTCCAAATAATCCCGATCTCTAAATTAAGATTGGATATCAATTCCATTCAATACTAACTCTTCCTAATTAGGACGTTGCATTTCCTACTTTGGACTATTCACATATATTCTTTTCATATATGCCTCTTAAACATGTTCATTCCATATTATCAAAACTCTCCTATTTGCTGAATCAATTATTCTGAAAAATAGAAAATTGCGATGACATAATGGAATTGAAATAGTTTATTTCAAATGACCGAAAATAATCTTTTACTAAATTTGTCAATTATTTTAATTCATGTTATGTGAAAAGATTATCTATTAAGATAAAATTTTATAAATGTTTATTTAAAGGAGAAGACTTTTTTTCTTTCACCGAAACCAGTCTTCTATTAATTTATTAAGGGCATGATATCAAAGGAACGTACATCATTATTTACAAGTTACAACCCAACTAGAAAACATACTTTTCCAAGAGAAATCATTTACCAAACAAACAGAGACCATCGCTAAGTTATGAGCAAGAGAATATATATATATATATATAGAGAGTCAACCCTCTCTATAACAGTTTCGTTTGCTCTGATATTTTTTGATTTTTATAGTGAATGACTGTTATACACCTATAACAACATTTGACGTTTAATATTTTTTGGTTGTTATAGATAAAACTTATCGAAAAATCAATTATTTTTCCCTTTTTAATGTTACATACAAAAGATATGAAAATTATTCAAATTTAAAATCTCAAAAGATATGCATATTTTACTAGTTAAATATTGAATAAAGCTAATACACTGTTAATAAATTCATAACTAAACTTATACAAATTTAAACTATAAGACATACATTTTAAAGCTACCTAGATAAAATAAATTCTTTCAAGAATATGGAAGAACTTTATAATTGTAGCTTATTTCGTAGATTTCATTCTCTTACTAGCGATATAACGCTTGAATTGGAGAAGATTCGTGTCCAAATTTTCAGCAAAAAGGTATCCAATAACTTTCCTTTGAAAACAATCTAAGAACTTAATAGTTAAATTTTCTATCTAAATCTTTTTTGAAATTTGTCCAATGAAAATGATATCATGTGCAAATCTTCAAATATTATATCTCGATAGAAACTTTGTTTAATGAAAAAGATTGTGTGCATATTTTTAGAATTATTAATAATAATTTTAAAGATTCTATATGGCTGTTATACATGTGTAATTTTACAAAGAGCGTTCTGTCATAAATATGATTGTTGCTGTTATAGGTAAAAAGATGTTATAGAGAGGTAGAATATAACTTAAAAAATCAATTATAAGAAAATTTTTGGCTTTTATAGTGAATGACTGTTATACAAAGATGTTGTTATAGAGAGAGAGGAGTTCCTTAACACCCCCCCACCCCTCC